AATCATCATACAGATGTCCAAGTGGTCTTTGTATCCTTGCTAATTTTGGCTCTAAACAGTTTTAAGTACGACTCACTGTTGTTGCCCAGTGGCCTCCCTTATCCTCATTTCCTAAAAAAATTGTCCACTCTGTTAATTGCTTTACCTTCTAAAGAATTGCTTGAATAAGTATGACAATTATTGAAGAATATGGCGAAAGCTAACGTTTATACTGCTTACCGAGAGAGGGAGCAGCCCCAGCGAAGGAGTAATGAGGTTATCGTGAATGTTTACTCTCAAGACTGATACTTTTATCATCAATTGTATTACCATCGAAGCCGTGAGTTCGCACGTAATTTCTCAAAACCGAAAGAAAATCGAACACATTGATGTGCATGTCACTTCGTGTCTTCAGGACAAAACTCACATCGAGAGCTGGAACTGCTGGTACAAACCTGAAATGTGCCATCCAGCTTCTTAATATATAGCTGCAAACCACAAGGAAATTATTCTACTCCCTAGATTTGAAAGTTTGAAACAGTTCTCTTTGGCTTGTTCGAGTAGTGAAAACAAGAGCCGAAGAAATTTCTGCCTAAAGCAACAGTGCTTTAAAACAATCCTGAGCTGATGGGCAATTGTTGTGAATAGAGTCCCTTTTAGACAATGGTTATGGACCAAGAATCTAGCCACTCTTTTCTTTCGCACGTGACATGCTATCCACTACGCCACCAGTATTTGCGATCCAGGATCAGCCTGAAGCGCACCTACTGTGTACTTTCCTTTCAAGGCAGAATATACCTTTTTTTTCTTGTCTATTTCCAATAGCAAGCATGCATCTTTTTCTTTATGGCGGCTTCTTTGTGGTATTTCGCAAGTTTTCCGCTACAATTGTTGGTCAGTCAGGTGGCGGTTTGCTATTGTCACTGCTCGAGGAAAAAGAAATTTCGAAGTAAGTGTGATTTAGCATTATTCTTTTAATCTGGCAGTTTTTGACCAAATTTTGCGCTGATTTTTAATCCCAATTTTCAGTAATTCATATGGATAGCGACTGGCCTCATCGCTCCTACCCTAGGCGGACTTGGGCACTTTCTCTTTACTTGCTTTTTTGTTCCTGGCTGTCCAGCACATGCTCCTCGATGATAACTCAAAATGAGTTCCGAGAAAAATAAAAAATATAAATACCTGAAGCGCGTCACTTCTGAGCCGGCGTATATAAGTCCGTAGCCACCTTGTCGATAAATGAGATCCAACTGCAAATTTTATATTCTTCACAAATATTTAAGCCAAGTTAAAAGTATCGATCGTGGTACCAGGAGAATTTTACAACCTGGAACTGTATTTTAAACTTTCTCAATTCACAAGACAAACGAGGAAAGCACCGATCAATGGCTGCAGTCTGACGCATTTACTAACAGCAACGTCAGTTTGATAAGATTGTCCATGGTTTTCTTTCGGAAGGTTGAGAAGTTGGCAACAGATTCCTATCAAAGCAGTCTTCAAAATCAGTGAAGTCCCACGTTTTGCTGTTACACGTAGCATAGAAAAACAAAGATTGGAGTGCCGATTAATCTATGATTTTCTAAAAAAAGATGGATTCAAGTGGGCGCTTTGTTGCAAAAAAAAACCTGTCGTTGAATCTTATTCGCATGTTCGGCGTATTCTTTCGTGTTTTTCTGTAGGAGCTTCCCATCAAATTTAAGCAGCGGACCCTCGGTCATCAGGAAATGACCTTCGAAGCGTCGTAGTGAGTGGAATGATGCTGACGAAATTGCTTGCACTGTAACGTTTGCCTCTTTCTGCTAAGCCAACAGCAAGAAACGCAAATGTTCCAAAAATTTATAAATTTACATTATAAATTTGAGAAGTAAAAAAGTTTGCCTGGCGAATTATGTGCACCACCTTTTTCAACCATCGGAGAAAAGTGGTGAAAGTTGGTCTTTCAAAGAGCCTCACACCCCCGTGCAGTAACCTTCTAAGCCCACTGGGGTAGAATCACTCGGTTTCTGACTATTTTTCCAAAAACCTACTCAATTTTTTTCATTCGCAAAAAAAAAACAGTGACTAATCTCTGATAAACACACAGCACCAGGGTAATCAGTCTTACAGAAAGTTGAAAATCCAACTGCGTCAGTGGGAGAAAAACCAAACATATTTCACACAAATGCTCGTTTCTCAGGAAACATCGAAAACCACTAACTATTCCCGTCTCGTTTTTTTTTTGCAGAAGAGCAAGAAAAACATGAAAAGCATAAACTCTGCATACTTTTAGAAATAGTAAGAATAAGCACGACAACAACCATGCCGACAATGACGAAGAGCAGTGCGAGCCACATGATCAGCTTGAGCTTGTAGCGCGGCGATGGGTCATCGAACTGCAAGCACGTGTTTTGTGCGCCAAATAAATCTGTATTTATATAATGCGAAAAAAGACTGATTTGAGTTCATTGTAGTAGGTCTGAAGTATTACGCTAAAGCATTAACAGAACTAAACTACCACAAGAGCATGGAAAAGGCAGAAACTTCTTTTTTTTTTTCACCAGATTCACTCAGTTTTCGCTTGTTGATATGATCTTATACATTTGGTTTATAATGTTATATGTTTATTCCGTGCTATTCCTACGCCAAAGGTCGAAAGTTTCGATTACGCCAATGCGACAACCTATCCTTCTACGATTCGTTCATTCGTGATGGCAAACTGATTTTGGCATATGTCAGAAATTCAAATCC